CCATGGTGACCAACTTGGGAGAGAAGACCCTTTATGGACAACTAAATGTTTACTCTGCCATCGCCAGCAACAGCACCATCACTCCACCTTCCTCAGGTACCTCGGCCATCATGTTTTTTTTATTTTCTTCCCTATAAAATACATTGCTTGCGTAAAGGATGAGTGACACTGAAAGCAATTATCGGGAGATAAGGGATCTATAATCGGGAGCAAGAATGAAGCATTCTGAAACAATTGCGCTTTCCCATAAAACACTGACCACACATGATGATTTGCATGTATTAGGTGTACTCTTCTCTCTGGGTTTCCCAGTTTCAGCGCAACTTGGGGTTCAAACTAAGTCGTAGAGAGGTCGAGTCACGTAATGCATGCGAAGTTTGCTTTAATCCCGATATTACGGATTATTGTGTTTTTGACAACCGGTGGACAGGTGACATTCTGCTGTTATAGACCTCTGTGCTGTCGATAGCATTCTAAATTAATGTGTCATCAGTATATCCATGCGTTTTCAAGTCTGTTCCGCATTAAATTTATCACGTTTTGTTCAACATTCATCAACATTCATCAACATTCATTAACATTCATCAACATTCTCTGGAAACTTCTTCGTCAGAAAATATTTAATAACATCAGGTACAGTAAACATCCTGAGAGATGGTAATTCACACGTAATACAATATTGTTATAATAATTCTTTTATACTATAATTCATGTTAAGCGCTAAACTCATGTGGGTCATTCAGGGAAAGACGTGGCGGAGGCTTCATCCTCCGTCTGCTGAGCGCGACACAGACGCGCTTCTCATTGGTACTCACGTAACAGCAGCTCCAGCTCTACTCTGACGAAGCCCTTAAATTATCATAGCTACTGAAGCTCTAGCGCAATATTTTACGATATACAACTCATCCCCCAACTGAACTCTCCGATTCAGACTGAGAGACTTCATCACTGTGTGTATGAAAGCTATCCTGTGTGAGGGAGTGTGACATGGGAAATATAACCAGCCTTTCATCCTACAGTGTAACTCGTGTAACAAGGAGTGCGTAGTCACACACCTTGTTTTGTCGAATAAGAAACAGCAATGAAGACTGAAGCACAAGTTGCAAAACAAACCTTTATTGCGACGTTTCGCTGAGTAAAACGTAAGCAAATCAAGACTTGATAAAAAAGAAAGAATCTCCTACACCTTGTGTCTTCGGTGACTTGTCTTTACACGTGCCTGCAAAATATTATTTCTTATAAAATATTGAATACTTAAAACAAAATATCAACTCTCTAACTACGCACATAAATTGTTTACACAAGCAGATGCTCTCAAGCCTTGTCTAAACAGTGTAAATAAGGCGTGAAGTTCAATAAAACGTGAGGAATTAACAGAGGCAGTGACGAGCACATAGTGTACACCTGACGTCAGAGAACTCCGCGTTGTCTTGTTGTGGTCATCGGCCCTAAGACAGAGCTTGACCTTGAGGCAACACCTTCAAGACAAAGGCAAGGGTCTCTTGCCGACTCCTGAGATCAGCGTATTAACCCCTGCATTCAGTGCAGGTTTTTACGCAGACGGGGTAAGCCTAAGAGTTACGCATCTCTATGATTGGCAAAGATACAGATTTTTGTTGTTGCATATTCGCTGGCATAATCGCAATAATCGTGAGAGTGTCTCAAACTAAAGTCTGCTATGGGAGGAGGTACAAGTACCTCCTCATCTTCTGGGACCAGCTGTCCCTAGGCCTAGCCCCTTTCCCTGCCCCCCACGGAGCTCGAAGGGAGAAGCCAGGCACCTTGGGCTGCCACAAATCCCGCTCACACTGGGCTCGATGGGTGTTGCAACTGCATAGCAGCATATGATGTCAGGAGGTGAAAAGACAGCAAGCACTATAGGATTCTTTTGGAGTCACACCCCAGCTTTGGGCATTAAGCCCGAGTGCTGGGGAAGCTCAAGAATGCTTTGCGTGTTGCTGCTGCTACTTCACTATCCGTTGCACTCTATAGACATACAGATGATGATCAAACGAAATGCAAAGTATGTGGCCAGCCCTATGATCACTATCTTCAACACTATTTGAGTATTGTCCACTTATTGAAGAATATATAGATAAACACTATAATAGCCTATGTGACATGTCAAGATATCTTATTAATGATAATAAGATACCTGACATATTAAGCAAAATTCCTCTATTTACTTGTAACAGATAGGTGTACTGTAGATACAAATCCAGACGTACTCCTGTTAACCCTTTTGGGGCCTAGCTCCTGGGCCTTTTGTGTATCCATATGCTCTTGCGCTACCGTCCACAGGATGGATATGGGGTGCACAATAAACTAGCCACTTCGGTGACAAAATCTATAAATCTAATATCTCTATGATTTGTATTCTCGGCCTCCATGTTCTCGTTATGGTATAAACTTTGCTAACAGATACCCACAAATTGGTTTAGAAAGATACGTGAAGAATCACTAGAACATATTTATTAGAAAACGTTTCGGTCCTGGGACCTTGATTACATCTAGACATGATCAAGGTCCCAGGACCGAAACGTTTACAAGTGAATATGTCCTAGTGTTTGGTCAAGTGTCATTCTAACCACGTTCCTGTTATACACAATCTCGTAATACATGGTTTCGTTACGTATGTTCTTGTTAAACATGCTCTCATACTCACAGAACCGTAATAACATGATTGCAAACAAATTATAGAAAAAGTGAAGCTCGAACCCACGACAGGAGAGACCTAAAACTCACAGGCCAGAGTGTTAACCACTGGGCTACTGCTTGCTCTAGTTATACACCTGCTATACATCTTGTTACACATGTTATGTCTTGGGCGTCTTCCGTGCCAGCCTTCAGATAGGCGTGTTGAAAATGGTATAGAATACTGACAAGTTGAAGATATGACACATGTGCAACAATTGGGTATCTTTATAGCTGAAATGTTTCGCCTACACGGTAGACTTCATCAGTCAAATACAGAGGAAAATGCATTGTAGACAGCCACAACTCCTGCTGTTTACAATGCAATATCATCTATATTTGACTGATGAAACCTACCTCGTAGGCGAAACATTTCAACAATAATGATAGCCAACTGTTGCACATCATCTCAAGAGACTCGCACAATGACTCCTTTACAATGCTTGCCTCACCAACAATATCCTATCACCATCAGTTGAGTTTCCCAATTAGCATAACCTTCCATAACCTGACACTTCGTTCTGGCGGTCATCACAAAGTATAGAACAATCTCCTGTCTTCTCACGACTCATGTGATGACCGGGCCCACATTAACACATTTTATATATACGCCTGTGGTATTTTCACACCTGCCTCAGTATTCCTCCTCTCAGTGGTGTATTTGCACGACCCAGGAGTACTCTGATACACCCGTGTGTTCCTACGACCTTCATCTCACTCACTGGTAAATTCATACGACCTTCATCTCACTCACTGGTAAATTCATACGACCTTCATCTCACTCACTGGTAAATTCATACGACCTTCATCTAACTCACAGCATATTCCTACAACCCACACCTCACAGGAGTGTTCCTACGGCCTTCACATCACTCACAGGTAAATTCCTGCGACCCACACCTCACAGGTGCGTTCTCACGACCCACCACTCACAGGTGTGTTCCCACGACCTTCCCCTTACTCACAGGTATGTTTCCCATGACTCACGCCTCATTCACAGGCATATTTGGCACGACCCACACCGAACTCAACAGGTGTGTTCCCAAACACACACACACACACCTGCCTCAGCGCACACACCTCCCAGACTTTAATCAAACACTGTACCTTCAAACGCCTTTGTTATCCCTGACAGAGACTTCTCGTCTTCCTCTGGGGATACAGCGAGTGACCTTCAGCAGCCAAACACAGTCTCGTTAAACACTGAGACAATGATACCTCGCTCTTGCACCAGCAATACTGTGCACTCTACAACTCGTAGATTATATAAATCAGGAGGAAAAGTAGTGAATTTTTTACAGTAATTATTTTCTTATTTCTTGTCACCTGTGTTATACTGATTTCTTAACTTATTTGCTTTTCACACACACACACACACACACACACACACACACACACACACACACACACACACACACACACACCCTCAAACACCCACACACAGGGCTCTGGGAAGACAGCAAAGAGGGGAACACTAACAGGGAATATACCAACAAGTGTTGGATGACATACACACAAAGGCAATGGGACCGGACATCTCCCCGTGGGTTCTTAGAGAAGGAGCCGAGATGCTGTGTGTGCCACTAACCACAATCTTCAACACATCCCTGGAAACTGGGCAACTACCTGAGGTATCGAAGACGGCAAATGTAGTCCCCATTTTTAAGAAAGGATACAGAAACGAGGCCCTAAACTACAGACCAGTGTCACTGACGTGTATAGTATGCAAAGTCATGGTGCAGATTATCAGGAGAAGAGTGGTGGAGCACCTGGAACGGAACAAGATTATATATAAAAGACAGCCAGCATGGGCTCATGGAAGGCAAATCCTGTGTCACAAACCTACTGGAGTTTTATGACAAAGTAACATAAATAAGACACGAGAGAGAGGGGGGGTGGGTTGATTGCATTTTCCTGGACTGCAGGAAGGCCTTTGACACAGTTCCTCACAAGAGATTAGTCCAGAAGCTAAAGGATCAGGCACGTATAACAGGAAGGGCACTGCATTGGATCAGAGAATACCTGACAGGGAGGCAACAACGAGTCATGGTACGTGATAAGCTATCACAGTGGGCGCCTGTGACGAGCGGGGTCCCACAGGGGTCAGTCCTAGGACCAGTGCTGCTTTTGGTATATGTAAATGACATGATGGAAGGGATAGACTCAGAAGTGTCCCTGCTCGCCGACGATGTGAGGTTAATGAGGAGAATTAAATCATATAAGGATCGGGCAGGACTACAAAGAGACCTGGACCGACTGGACACGTGGTCCAGCAACTGGCTTCTCGAATTCAACCCCGCCAAATG